TGAAAGTTCTTTGATTCGTTTGAGTACTTATTTATTATAGTACTAAATTTTAAAATGTCATACTTTAAAGGCGTAGCCTTTACTGCCAATAAGCTTAATGCATACTCACTCAGCGATTTATCAATTTTCCTAGCATATTTCCAGAAACGATCTGGGTCACGAGCATCTTCATTAAACAGATTTTTGAAACCTTCTCTTTTTCGCGTATAGAAACCAATAGCATCATATGAATCTTGAGGAGCGGTAGTATAAATGAATTTATCGAGTTCATCGTTTAATTCGAAATGTTTTTTGAAACGTACGCCATGATACAGAGGATTGAAAAAATTGCTTCCGAAGCACATATTATTTATTCCTTCTTTAACCGTTGTTAGTAAGACAGGAGCAAAAGTATTATGATGCATGACAAGGGATTCGTCTATCATTGCAAATATTTTTTCAGTTTGCCACGGAAAGTGACAAATTGTTATTGGAAATCATGGCTTCTAATTCATTCATTGTTTCAAGAAACTTTACCAACTGAGGTGCTGTTGACAGTGAGCTCTGTATTTGAACTTGTTTGAGTTTCTTGAAAAACAAAACTAAATGTACCATGGTCTGAATCTTATACTCCTTGTGTTGCGATTTACAAGAGATGGTTTTCGGTAAGTGTAATTAAGCTACCGTCATGTAAAATTATAATAGGATTGGCCCGTAAAAAACTAGCTGCACATAATTTCAAGTATTCTTTATCTAAGTTTTGATTACCATCTATAGATCGAAAATTTAAAAAACTGGGCTGGTCTTCTGTAGCACAAATAAAGGAGAGACAAAGAACATGTGATTCTTGTCGCGCTGTAACAACCTCTATTATTCCATAATGTTTTTTCTCACAAAAATTCATGTAAACTTTCTCACACGCATAATTCAATACAGAAGTTTTTAACTCTTGAGATGATGGCGGAGTGTGCTCAGAATCATAAGCATGAATTACATCTTTTGTATGACTTAAGTCAATTGTAGAAAGCTCGATATCATGAAGAAAAAAAAACTCTAGTAGTTTTACGTTTTTTTGGAGATCTGTTACACAGCATTCTTTTTGAGGTGTAAGGTTTGATTGCTGAAAGAAATTGAATATGCTTATAAGTAATACAATTTACTGACATACAACATTATGTTATTGATTTAAAATAAAGCACCACAAATAAAAAAAAACTATTCTGAATATTATTGCAAAAATAATTAAAATGATACAATGAGTACAAGCCACAAACTTGAATGTGACTTATTAATTTTACATCATTATAATGACGTTTTGCTGACTAATAAGTATTACAGTAAAAGTGCGCATAAACTGTTTTATAGCATGAAAAACAATAAATTACATGAGATTTTGAAAATGTTTCTTTAGTGAACCTAGAAGTTTACGATACGAGCCAAAAGTGAGAGCCGTAAAGAGATTCGGAAAAAAAACTTTTCAAACAAGTCTCTCGTAATTTTTTTTTTTTTTGACTGAGAACCCAAATCTAAGTGGAAAAACTTTGAGGTTAGAAGGCGGAAAATAATTTGTTTGCTATAGGCACAAAGTAAGACTTTGAGCCCTCAAAAAAAAAGCTGCTTGCACCTTGAACACATGTATACAAAGAATCTTCATTTTACTTTGCACCCATCATATAAAAATTACCATTTTTCATACCCCCGTCGAAACGAATAACTGTTTTTATGAAATAAAATGGTGAAAGTGAAAATTGCCTCGAAGATGCAAATAAAAGTCTTTGCTTGTAGGGAAACGTCTTATTGTTCTCTTTTTCGGTGCCACCCTCAACTTCGGTTTGGGAGGCGATTTTCACCTACAAAACCATCAAATATTTTTCAACTAAGCATTAAATATAATTTATAAGAGAGATATTTCAGATTTCTTTATAAATAAAATTTTTATTGTTTTCTCTAATCGATAAACTTAGTACAAAAGCCAACAACATGAATAAAATGAAACAATTTTTCTCTCAGTTATTATTTGTCCCTTTTGATATTGCGTGTTGTCAAAAATATGTTAACTGAACCAACCCTGTTTTGAAATATAGCAACTGTTGTGAGAGTGTGTATGAGGAATGTAACGTAAAAGATTATCATACCATGGCTAGGTGATTTCTTACATAGTTATGTGCCACAGTTATTATTACCAAATAGAGTTGTTCATAAAACTTGTACAAACGTGCTGTCAGTGTGGTATAATTAGCAAAAAATTTCGATAATTTTTGCACAATTCTAAGTTTGGAGGAAAAAAATTGTCTTAAGTAGATAATTATAATACGAATTAAAAAAAATAATACGCTGTCTCTAAGCTTATGCACCGTAAAAAGACGGAAGAAATAATGTACGAATGAGCCCAGGTGGTACACTGGTGACTGCAAATTGCAAAGAATGATCGATTTCTTAAAAAGCACTTTTTTGAATTAAGAGCATACAAATTTTTTTCACATAATTCAGAGTTAAAAACTATGAAAAGGTAATTATATTACACTATCTATAAACGAGAGTCAAACACATATATTAACGGCCATTTGTCGGGGTGAATGATGACTCTGAAGTTCGCAACGTTGCTTGCAATGAAAATGAAAAAAAAGTTTTTTGTATTTTATTTTTAATTAAACCGGTTCAAATGCATTAAAAACTTCTAAGAAAGGCTCCCACAAATTTTGAGATCATAAAAATGTATCCTTCTAGATATATAAGGGGTTCAAGTATAAAATGCTGAATAGATGCGTAAATAATGTAATAAGGCCTTTACAACTCTTGAAATAGGATAACAACATTAAATACAAATCATAGTAAGAGTCTGTCTATCTTATGAGAATGTTTGGCCTCAAGCTCTGCCGCACGCAGCGCTGCTGCAGAAGAGCCATCATATGGCGTCTAAAATATATATAGGTATTGTGTTGACCGTCTTTAGACTTAATGACGATCGTCACGTCATTGTTTAAATATGTCATACATATGCAGAGTTGACGTCAGTTGACTTGACGCAGTTGTGGCTGCTCAGCATATATACTGTATGCTACACAGTCATAAGGCTTATGACTGTACCTGTACACATATATTTTCAATACATAGAAAAATGGTATATATACATACATATATATATATATATTTGTATATCTTTATATACATATATACATTTGAGACACCATGATGGCTCTTCTGCAGCAGCGCTGCAGGCGGTAGAGTTTGGGGCCAAACGTTCTCATTAACGTTGAATAACCATTAAAAATTAAACTCCTAACTATTGTATAGGAATAATCCATATAACCCAGCGAACCAACAACGTTTACCCAATAATTTAAAAAACAAAAAATCACCCAAAACGTAACAACATTCTTTGCGCTAGTTAAACTAATTCATACGGACTGAATACATTTATTTTTCCAAGATTAACAGTACAAAACGTTTTGTTCTGGAGATAACAATAGAAAAAGAAGCTATACTGTAAGAAGAATCCGTTATAATTAGCTGCCCGCAACTGATAACGTTGCATGAAACGTTGTGAACTTCAGCGTCATGGTGAATGTTCCTTGTTAACTAAGTGAAGCTATAAGTACTCCACAATCGCTGCCAGTAGTAATTTTTTCGAACGCAGGAATATTGTATAAATGGGTAGTAGTATAAATTAGAAAAAAAAATTAATGTTATCGGTTTTACTAGTTCATAATGAGCAAAAAAGTTCTAATGCAATGAAATGTAAAAACCAATCTTTTTGGGTCCCTCTTACAAAAAATGGAAAATAATTGTCGAAAATACATAAACTGTGAATTCTGCACATTAAAGCAATGTTATTTTTACACATCTGTCGAAAATTGAAAAAAAGATCCACATTATAAGGTATTTTCACTTCTGACGTCATCATGCAAAATGGCGAGGGCTGGGGGACAAAATTTGAATTCACACAATAAGTTTAATCGCGACTATAAAATTTATTGACATATTCCAGTTACTCGATTTGATTACAAAAACTTCTCCTTTTCACGAGCTATCGAATGGGTATCAGATATATGGCATTTTTTTATTATAAATAAGTGAAATCGATTAATAAAGTTGTCGCGGACAAAAAGTAAAGCCGGAAAACATTTTTTTTAAACCCTTTACAAGCATCCAATCGCACCTGTTTTGAAATATAGCAACTGTTGTGAGAGTGTGTATGAGGAATGTCTGTTTTTGATAATCGTATGTACGGGTGGGCGAGGCTACAAGTATGTATAAGGGACGTCCGTGGGCCTCATGCGTACATGTATCACGACAGTACAAATCAAGCGGGCAATACGAGCGGTCTCGTTGCTTCTCCCCCGTGTGCTACATGTATCCCACGTATACTTGAATAAATAGTTGATACCCACAGTACGGCACATCTAACTACCTTTCTTCCCTCAGCTTTCTACTCACGTACAATTAGCATACATAACAAGTTGGCGACGAGGACGGATTATTATTATTTTTTTTTTTGTGGTGTATTTTCTGCGTACAATTAAACGTTACAAGTGCAAATAAATACAATGGCGGGGGATGACATTCAGCAATCGTCTACGTCTGCAGGACCGCAGTTACAAATACAGCCATTTACACCAGGAGTATCGACATGGAGTCGATGGGTACAGCGCCTGGAAGGTGCCTTTTCGATTATGAAAATACAAGAAACGGAAAAGGTGCCTAATATTTTACACTACATTGGGGAAGCAGCTTACAACAAACTCTGCGATACATACGGAAGCGATGACCCCTACACGAAAACATACGTTGAAATAAAGAATAAATTGAAGGAATTGTATGAGCCAGTAGCATTAGAGATAGCAGAGGTGTTCAAATTTAATTGTCGAAGACAGCAGCCTGGAGAAAGTGTGCAGGAATACGTTAGCGCTTTAAATCGATTAAGTGCTACGTGTAATTTCGGCACATTCAAAGACACGGCGTTACGCAATCAGTTTGTCTTTGGGATATCTAGTAAGCGCGTACAAAGTCGTTTACTGGAAACAAAAAATCTCACGTACACAAAAGCCTTGCAAATAGCCGTGGCTATGGAAGTGTCGGAACGTGAAGCAAATACGTTACATCAACAAGCTACGCTGGTAGACTATATACACGCAGGAAAAGATAAAAGGAAGAAGGTAAACAATAAGCCCAAAGCATTGGATGGGCGTAATTTTGATAGAACGGGACCAAAGAAAAACAATCATCATGGTACAAACGTTCGTTGTTTTCGATGTGGGGAGCCGCATTTTGCAAATGATTGTAATATTAAAGAAACAATCAGGCGTAATTTTTGTAGAAAAAAAGGACATATAGAAAGAGTTTGTTTTATTAAGAAAAACAGTACAGTGCATGAGTTAGAAGAAGATACTGGAACCGAAGAAGAAGAAGAAGAAGAAGAGGGAGCAGAAGCTCAGGTGTACAACATTTTTATGCTGGAAAACCACTCACCGGAAGAGCACGCATTCGATAGAGAAAAATTCCTTACTACATTGGAGGTAAGCGGAAGATCGGTGCGTTTCGAGGTCGATAGCAGAGCAGCAGTTACTATAATGTGGTCTGAACAAGCAAAAAGTATTTTTAGAGACTTTAAGTTAAATCCTTCGAAATTATGCCTAGTCGCTTATTGTAAAACTCAAGTAAAAGTGCTGGGTTTTATCACCGTGAATGTGTTGTATGAAGGTAAACACTATAATTTAAATATATATATTACAAGCGTGGAACGCGAACCTTTATTAGGCCGCGAATGGATTCGGAGTTTACTCTCGAAAAACAATAATAATGATATTCGAAAGCTATTTGCGCCCGTGTGTAGTTTACAAACCGAACAAGCTAGCGAAGATGCGTACATAGAAAATATGTTAAGTAAATATCCAAATATTACAAGTACACAGTTATCTAAAATAATTGGTCTAAAGGCGAGTCTTTCTTTAAGACCGGGAGCGACGGCTGTTTTTCTTAAGCCTCGGTCTTTGCCCTTCAAAATAATTCCACTTGTAACTGAAGAAATTGAATTGCTACTGAAGGATGGGGTTTTTGAAAGAGTGGACACATCCGATTTTGCAACACCTATCGTTCCTGTCTTAAAGAGGGATAATCGCGTGCGTATATGCGGTGATTACAGTATCACAGTCAATCCCTAGCTAATGATAAGCGAGTATCCTTTACCAACCATAGATGAACTTTTAGCCGAGATGGCTGGTTGTATTTTTTTTTCCAAAGATCGATTTGAGACTCGCCTATCTGCAACTGGAGGTTGACGATGAAACGGTTAAAATCCTTACCCTGAATACACACGTGGGGTTATTAAAGTGCAAAAGGTTGATGTACGGTGTAGCATCGGCACCTGCTATTTGGCAAAAATTAATGGAAAATATTTTGCGGAGCATACCCGGAGTGAAAGTTTTTCTGGATGATATATGCATAGCGGCTAAAACGCGAGAAGAACTGATGCAAAAACTTGACCTTGTGTTCAGTGTACTAAATAAATATAATGTAAAAGTTAATAAAAAAAAAATGCGAATTTTTTGCTAAACAAATACATTATTGTGGTTATGTAGTAGGTCAGGAGGGAATTAGCAAGAATCGTGAAAAAATCAATGCAATCGAAAAAATGCCAAGACCCTCAAATGTAGAGCAAGTTCGTGCTTTCGTAGGCATGATTAATTTTTATAACCGGTTTATACCGGATGTTGGCACGATCCTGCAGCCCTTATATGAAATGCCACATAGCGATGCTGAATTTGAATGGACACAGCGACAGGAGAAGGCGTTTTTGCGTGCGAAGGAGGAATTTCAAAGCGATAGATGCTTGGCGTTTTATGATCCTTTTTTGCCTCTAATTTTATCAACAGACGCAAGCCCATACGGAGTGGGAGCAGTATTAGCTCATCGTTACCCGGATGGTTCCGAGCGCGCTATTCAATATGTGTCTCAAAAATTGAACAAAACTCAAGCAAAATATAGCCAAATTGATAAGGAGGCATACGCGATAGTATTTTCCATCAAGCGTTTACATCAATTCCTATACGGTAGGAAGTTCGTACTAATTACGGATCATAGGCCATTAACTCAAATTTTTTCAAAAACAAAGAGCTTACCCGTAAATAGTGCGATGCGTATGCAGCATTACGCAATATTTCTTCGCGGTTTTGAATTTACTATCGAATATATGCGCTCGGAGCAGAACGGTAACGCTGACTGTCTGTCACGTTTACCTGTAAATAGTTATGAGTTTGGGAAGCAAGGATTGGATGTAATCGATTTTTTTTACAGTGAACAGGAGGCGGATCTTTTTTTTGTGCGGATGAGGTCATGAGTGCGTATAAAGGAAATAGTGATATAACAAGAGTTATAAAATCGTTACAAGAAGGACACAAACTATCACGCGATATAACTTGGAATATTGATCCAAGAGAATTTGGTGTAGAGTATGGTATGCTGGTGCGCGGCTACAGGATTGTTATCCCCGTAGAATTACGCGAACGTGTTTTAAACGAGTTGCATGTTGGGCATTTTAGTGTCATGAAGATGAAAGGACTTGCGCGCGATTTTGTATGGTGGCCAGGTCTTGATAAAGAAATTGAAAACATGACAAAAACGTGTCTAAAATACCAATTGCACAGCAACAACGACAAAAAAGTAGACACGGATATGTGGCAGCCACCAGATTTTCCGTTCCAAAGAGTGCATATTGACTTCGCAGGGCCGTATTTGAATAATAATTTTTACATCCTTGTGGATGCCTTTACTAAATGGCCGGAGGTGCGTGTTGTCAAAAATATGTTAACTGAACCAACTGTCCAAATTTGTAGGGAGATTTTTTCTTGCTTCGGAATTCCGCAAGTCCTAGTATCGGATAATGGCCGAACTTTCGTGTCCGAGGTTTTTGAACGTTTTATTAAGGAGAATGGAATAGTGCATAGATTGACAGCACCGTACCATCCGGCAAGTAATGGTCAAGCAGAGCGCTACGTGCAAACAATTAAAAAGGCACTGGCAAAGATTGAGACCAGCGTGAGTTTAAGTTCAGAATTACAAAACATCCTAGCGCATTATAGGGCAATGCCGCACGCTCAAACAGGTATGTCTCCTGCAGAATTAATGTTTGGTAGGAAACCTAGATGTAAGTTAGATTTATTAAAACCGCAAGATAAATATAAGATTAATATTACTTGTAACAATAATAAATGTAAAAATTTCACAGTGGGAGAGACAGTAATCGCGCGTGATTATCAATATAAAAGCAAATGGCAACATGGTACAATTGTTAAACGCGTCGGACACTTACACTATGTGGTACGGCTTGAGAGTGGAAAAGAGTGGAACAGGCATGTCGATCAGTTGCGCGCGGCGCCTCAAAGAAAAGGAAAGAAAACGGAACTTGACAATTATTTTGTGTCCACGGACGAAATGATACAGGTGTTTCCTCCTACGAGAGATAACTCTCCACCGCGTCTAGAAACGGCGGTCGGGGCCGTGGCAGAAGATCTTTAGGCTGGTGTCAGGGGCAAACAGTCGAAACGCGACCAGGAGCGGTAGCTCAAACCTCTCAAGTAAGACCACAGAGAGAAAGAGTGTTGCCCTCGTATTTAAAAGATTATTCCCTCTCAATTGATTAATAAGTGCGATTATTTTTCTATGAGGAGAAGTGTTGTGAGAAAGTGTATGAGGAATGTATGTTTTTGATAATCATATGTACGGGTGTGCGAGGCGACAAGTATGTATAAGGGACGTCCGTGGGCCTCATGCGTATATGTATCACGACAGTACAAATCAAGCGGGCAATACGAGCGGTCTCGTTGCTTCTCCCCCGTGTGCTACATGTATCCCACGTATACTTGAATAAATAGTTGATACCCACAGTACGGCACGTCTAACTACCTTTCTTACCTCACCTTCCTACTCACGTACAATTAGCATGCATAACAGCAAGAATCGATATTTTATTATTAATTACAAATTTTTACTGCATGACATAACATCACGTAAATAGCCTAAAACTCAGCTCAACTGAAAGGTGTGGATTGTTTGGTTAGAGTGCGAGTTACTTCTATACCTATATATACAGTCTCATGTAATGCTCTACCCAGTACCCCAGGCAGCGAGACTGTGTATATAGGTATAGGAGTAACTCGCACTCTAACCAAACAATCCACATTTTTCAATTGAGCTCAGTTTTAGGCTATTTAAGTGATGTGATGTCATGCCGTAAAAATTTGTAATTAATAATCAAATATCGATTGTTGCTGTACTTCAAAACAGGTGCGATTGGATGCTTGTAAAGGGTTTAAAAAAATGTTTTCCGGCTTTACTTTTTGCCCGCGACAACTTTATTTATCGATTTCACTTATTTATAATGAAAAAATGCCGTATATCTGATACCCATTCGATAGCTCGTGAAAAGAAGAAGTTTTTGTAATCAAATCGAGTAACTGGAATATCTCAATAAATTTTATAGTCGCGATTAAACTTATTGTGTGAATTCAAACTTTGTCCCCCAGCCCTCGCCATTTCGCATGATGACGTCAGAAGTGAAAATACCTTATACTTCAATCCAGTTACTGGGCAAGCAAGCATCAACGATAAGTAAATTACCAATTCCACAGTATTGTTAGATTAAAAATTAATTATTCGTAACAGCGATCATTTGAAATAAGTAACTAAACCGTATTTCAGTTTTGTTAAGCAAAAAAAATTAATTATTATGTTAGTACAAATCAGAAAAAGTAAACTATCTGTTTTCCATTATTAAATTTCAGTTAAATATTTATTACTACTCAAACTAATTAATTGTTTTATCAACACATAAAAAAGTAGGATACTTATCGATGTAGCTTAATTTCTTAACAATAGACGTGCATAAGATTTTTAATAGTAACATTATGATAATAACTTGACTATAGAAAACCATAGAATATGTTGCTTTTCGAAGAGGCAGCAAATAAGCTAAAACCAACTACTTCTGTTAGTTTTCAAATGAGGTAAATGGAATTAAGGTGCACAAATATAGAAGTGTTTCCCAATACAAAAGCCTAAACTCAAATATTTTGTGTTTTGTCAGTAAGTGCCCCGGGTCATAGTGATAGGTGCTTGTATTATTAATTTTTATTTATTTAATTTTCAAAGTGGCTAGTAAACGCCCCAGGTTATTTGGTGATAGGCGCTTTTATTATTATTATTAAATGTTTCATCAATCAGTAAAGTGGATAGTAATTGCCCCCAGTTAACTAGTGATCCCAATTGAAAATAATGACGTAGTTTTGTTACGTATTTGAGTACGTATCGAAAATACGTCATATAATTGCGTAGTGGAAATACGTGTCGGTTTAGAACCTTTTGTCACGTAATTTTATCACGTTTTTCGCAATCATAAAGTATTTCTATGAAAAAATAGTTTTAAAATATGATTACGACGTGCATTATCTATTAGCATGATCGTAATAGTGTTATCATCCGTATAGTAACATCAATACAGGGAGGATTCAAGTATTTTTACTTGAATTTTAGTGGTATTGAGAAAACGTATAAAAAGATTTCACTTTTTTTAAATTCAAGAAAAAATACTTGAACCCTCCTGTTTTAGTATTACTATACTCATGATAACACTATAACGTTCATGCTAATGCACATCGTAATCATATTTGGAAACTATTTTTACATAGAAATACTGTATGATTGCGAAAAACGTGATAAAAGGTTCCAAACCGACACGTATTTCCACTACTCATTTGTATGACGTATTTTTGATACGAACTCAAATACGTAACGAAACTATGTCATTATTTTCCATTGGGCACTGAAGTTATTTGTTATGCTTTTATTAAGAAATAAATTGGCCATTAAGCTATTTGGGTTCCTTGGTTAATGTTGTTTATGTTATTCATGTCCTTTAAGTAAATCGCATTTATATTTAAAAGTTCTATGAACTTTTTGAGTATGTTTAATTTATTTATTTAGAGATTTAACGTATATTTAAAATTTAGTGGTTTAAATATGCTTAGGATACATAATCCTTGGGTTAAATAGCTTGGGATTTATTAACTTTTAGTATACTTGAATTATTCGCTGGGTGCGCGTTAACTCTGGCCGTAGGGCGTTAGTTCCGAGTGAGGAAAAAAGCCTTTTTTTCGTTCAAAAGTTTCTAGAGACTACAATTTTTCACCAATTTAATAAATTTTTTCTAATTCCAAGGTGAGATGATTTGTAAGATATCTGTGGAGGCTGAATTTTAATTTTTGATACCAAATTTTTCTACCTAACCTCACAAGTTGAAAAATAGTGATACTTGCCAATCCCAACATAAATAGAACTCATTCGGTGACCTGTCGAGCAAAAAAATTGCAAAATATCATAGATCTAGTACATTATGTATAATTATATCATTAAAATACTTACAAAGAATTAATCCAAGATGACAGATTCAATACGGCGAACCGAATTTCAAAAAGTTCTCGAATCCTGGCAAAAAGAATTTATTTGTGGGTTTCTATGATTGCTGATCAATAATCTGCTATTAAAATTTGCAAATATAAGATGGCCGATCTAATATAATTGACGAAAATTAGAAAATTTTTCCAATTTTATATATTGGTGGATATCAGTTGAGCTTTGTGCGATTTCATCACAACAAAGCCTATCAGGTATTTACCTGATTTTCATTTGATAGTTACATGATTATCATATGATAATAATCGTATAAAAATCGTTAGGTGATAATCAACTGAATAACAGGAGATAATCATGTGAAAATTGAATAAATATCAGGTTAATATTATGCCAAAATCTCAGGTAATAAAAAAAAAAAATTATAATCGATCCTGGTTAATGAGTGATAGATTATAGTCAGCTGATTAATTTTTCTATAGTTATTTTTTGACGAACTTTTTCAAAGGGGGTTTTTTATGGAATTGTTTCCCATCTATATGTTTTAGTGTGATTAACTATTCAAGCTCAGAGTTACTACCATTTCGATAAATGTCCCGTCAGTTTTAAACTGCTGCAGCTGTTACTAACAATGAATCTTTCACGCACTTATTAGTTCGAATAAGAATATAATTCACTGCCACTTTTTTTACTATAGTACACTTTTATTAAGTAACAAAAAAGTTTTCTAAGTAATAAATAGGCTACTTGGTGTTATCAACACATATTATATTCACATACTTTTGAAAATTCTAGTACTCTAAGCTTAATAACATTATGATGATATTTACAAGATTTACTTAACATACGTATATACGATATATTCATACACCTAAGGGCAAGAGATAATATAAAGTACTTTAACTACATATAAATCAGAAGTAAGCCAATAATTATTGCACCTTGGGTACGTTATTATACTACATCAGTTGCTTACAAATAATAATTAACTGTTCAAAGTCATGTATTCTTCAAAAAACCTAAATAAATATATTCACCAAGCTTCTCATAACTTATCTAAGAATCAATTCAAAATCTATTCAGTTTCACATTTTTAAATTTCAAGCATAGTAATAAAATGTTTGTAGTCAACCATCTCAAAAATTCTCCCGTAACAATATTAACCCAAGATTTTAGGAATTTTTTAATTTTCTTTTACTTTATTGGATCGGCCATCTTGAATTTGCAAATTATAAAAGCAGATTATTACTCAGCAACCCTAAAAACCTTTGAATAATCATTTTTTCCAGAATTCAAGAACTTTTTGAAATTCGGTCCACCGTATTGGATCTCGGATTAATTTTTAAAAAATATTTTAATGATATAATTATACGTAATATGTACTATATCTATAATATTTTTTAATTGTATTGCTCGATAGGCCACCTAAAAAATGATTTATGATTGAATCGGCATTATATGTGTGTACATATATACATATAAATATTTATATGAAGTATATGTATGTATATATATATATGTATATATATATCATTATATATAGTTCTCTCTCTCTGTGTGTGTGTGTGTACATATATACGGTTAGTACATTTTAATACATCGAATTATTCTGTATACAACACTAAGTTTCACGTGTATGTGCCTGACTATTATACTTCTATAATCTATAGCTATATCTGTTGTTATGGGCCACGGTAGCACAGTGGTAAAGGCTGTAGTTCTTGTAGCTCGGGGGCTTGGTAACACATGCTCACGAGTTCGAGACTCGGCCTTCACTCACTTGGCTCGCACCTCTGAGAAACTTATTTCTTAAGTGCGTATTACCAACTGTAGCCAAATGGTTCGGAAGCCATGTAAAATAAGGTCCCCTTTGCTGTGTAAGTGATTGATGTCACAACTAAATCTGAGGCGGTTTTTTACAATGCCAATAACGATAGCATGTAAATGCATAGTAACACAGCATTGCAGAGCCTATAGGGCATAGTTCTCAAAAAATGGCTGTAAAATATTCAAAAAAAAAAGCTATAAGTACTTATCTGTTGCATACGCGAAATGTAGAGAAGGGATGGGGACTCCCCCGGCCGTATTCTTCGATTCCTTTTACTCTCTCA